ATGGATCTGAAATCAGAATCAGAAACAGCTCTATTGGAGTTCCAACATAACCAACAGATTGTTAGCATTGGATTTGCCATCTTTTTAGACAGGAGTAAATTGGAGCTGTTTGGAGTCTTTTTATTGTGGATCTGAAATTAAATTCAGTGCAAATGAAATAGCAAGCTTTAAACTTGTAGAACTTGTTATGAATAGATGATTGAATACTGTAGGGAATTTATATTATCAAGATTCTGCTGGCACTTATCTTAGAATTCCAGAAACAAGGAAGTCTTTGTTGAATTTATCTTAAATCATGCTTCTGTGGCATAAAATAGTGGATTGGAGTGGAATAAAACCTGCAAATACCAGAGATAAACTTGAATCACCTGCAGAATCAAAAGACTATTATTTGAATTTATTCTTCTGAGATTGAGGAAATGTAGCATCCATTATCTGATTGTTTTCTGTGTATTTTCTACTATATTGTGTCTCTAACATGTGAAATAAACTTTTTAAGTTAATGTGATTATAACATTAAATGGATAAATTACTGGAATATGTGCCCTTGATCATGGTGTCTGAAGGTATATGGATTCATTTATTCATTTATTCATTTATTTATTCACTCATTCATCTCTTAGACTAACTTTCATTGTTTACATCATTTATTATACAGTGTTGAATTATTTATTCATTTATTTATTCTATCTATCTATTGATTGCTTTTTACTCATTTTTAGATCATTCATTCATTAATATGCTTCTGTTTTATTCCCTTCTTCTCATTCTCTTTCATTCATTCCATCTGTTGTTCATTCATTCATTCTCTCAGTGAGTCGCTTATCTCAATTCTATATAATTAAACTCAGTACCACCTTACTTTCTGATATCAATGTCTAAAAATAGATTCCAGGTGATGATTAATACAAACCAAACCTATAGACATTGCTATAATATAAACATAACACATACATTACATGTGCATTGCATGATCTGTGTTTATTTTACAAAAACCAGGTACACTGTTAATACCATTTATTTTTTGTTCTTTTAGTTTTGGCATATTTAGTGTTTGTTTTCTGTAGGGATTGTGTTTTATTTGATTGACATGTACATATATTGTCAAAAAAACCATTTTCATTGCATACTATGTAATTAGTCTAAAAGATGACTATTTTCTCTTTTTATTCTTCTGTTATGCATAGAAGTTTTTAAAGGGTTGAGTCTTCCTGTAACTTTCTGGCTTCTTTACCTACTTGTGGCATCAGACACTTTTTTAATCTGACCATTATTTATGCTGGTATCCATTTTGGTTAATCTTTACTTAATACACAGCAAATGAAATTCTTTTAAGAAAATTCAAACCATTAACTGAAAATTTGATTAGATTCTCAAACACCTTACACAATGGTGTGCAGTGACCAGTGGTCTTGCGAACTTTTTCTTATGAAATATTTACGCACTTATAATTGATATACCTCCTCATATGAAAAGTTTATTAACTGCTACCAACGTTTCTCCAAAATGTGTTTTTGGATTTTGTTTTGCAGTTCAGATCATTTGTACTTGTTTTATTTATGTAAAGTTTAGGTGTATGATTTTTACAAAAAATATTCTTTTGGTCTTCAGAATTACTGAATGTTAAACAGAAGACAAGCATTCTTAGGAAATCTACCCTCCACTCTTGGCACCACTACAGTCTGTTATTTTGGTACCTTTAACTGGCCTAGTGAGTGTACAAGGTAGATAGTTGAATTCCTGATGTAAAGGAGTACTGGGATATCATATGTCAAGTAGATAAAGAAACTTTGCAGACGGCAAATTCAAAATGGAGTCTTTATCAATTGTACACTTCTTTCATTCTGGAATTTAATCTGGACATTAGTTCATCATTGAAAACACTAAAGTTTGTGTATTTAGTTTTTGTGTAATTTTGAGATTATTCTGTTATATTGTAAGTATATTGAAAGTTTTGGTGTAAATTTGTATTTTTCTTGGCAATTGATAGCTTTTATTTGGCAGCTAAAAGTAGGTTCTTCTATTTTTTTCTGACAAAATGTAATGTATGGCTACATAAAATTGAATTTATTAACTTTTTTTCTTCTAAACATGATCCTTTCCTTAGTCTTTTGAACATACATACAAATTTTTATACAGCTTTATGTCATTTAGAAAAAATCAGTTTTTAAACTGTTATAAAACTTCTAAAGGATCCAACTACTCCAATTGACTCTTTAGTATTTGCCCTTTAAAAAGGAACATAATACCAATTCATTACAAATTTTTTAATCTATTGAAAATTAGTTTAAAAAAAAGTGTTCCTTGAAAAATAAAACAAAGGCCTTATTTTTTATTAAGAATTTTAAAAATTTGTGATCAAAAGGGACATTGCAATACTATTGCATATACAGCCTTGACTTTGACACAGTTAAAAGAAAGATATAGGTTATATTTATACACAAAGACAGAAATCATCTGGTAAAAACATTAACCATGATATAACTCACACTTTCTTTGTTGCAAGTCTCTTTTTATTTTTAACAAGGACCATCTTTTATCCCTTGATTTTTAAAGCCTAATGAAGAAACCTTTTTTTTTTTAAAAAATATATTACTATTTAAAGGGATTGTAGAAAGATTTTCAAAACTTTTCATATGTATCTGGGAGGGACACCGATAGCATTGTTTTACACCATTCCAATTTTCTGTGAGATCTCTGTAGTTCTTGCAATTCCAATAAAATGACATTACTTATTCGCAGGCCATCAGATATCATTAATAGTTTTTGTGATAGTGAAATAAATCACTTAGTTTGAGTGGAATTGCATGTACCATATCCATCAAAATACTATATATCATAGCCATGTAGCCTCTCTAAAACATATTACCTGGCTGTAAATGATCCAAGTCAGACCTATATCTAATTAGTATTGTGTAATATCTAATACTTCTCAAGTAGAATCAAGAATTAAGCAAGTCTGTAGTTAATATAAGATGAATCATAGGAGTATAATCATAATGAAAGTTTGCCAAGTGGTAGTTTTTTTATTAAAACATGAGTGATAGAGTGTAACAAGTATTTATATGATATACCTTGATGTAATATATACAATTCTTATGTCTGTTGATTACCTCAGTCAGGTGTTCTGCCAATACCTCGTTCAAGGCTGTTTGGCATAACAGAAGCAAATAAGAAAAATACCTCCCTTATAAAACATCAATCAATTTCAAAAGTTTCATTTTTTCCCCTGATTCAGTAAATGAGATTCAAAAAGACCCCCCCCTCATATGTTGGATTGCATTAGACCTTGTCATCAGCCAAAAATTTGCGTTATGTTTATGGCATGATTATTTGAACCCTACTGATATACCTGCTGTCAACAGAAATTGGAATGGCTTATCTTCTGTTCTATGAGGCTGTGTTTGAGGTGCTTTGGCAAGCTGTTCATTGTTTATTGTGTAGCATTGCCCTCTTTCATGATTTCACTTAGGAGGAGAAAAGTGCCAAATTGTTGGCGTTTCTGTTTGGAAATTGTGGATGCTTTGACCCCCACCAACACTGAAAATATTTGAATTTTTTATCATTCTGCATTGGAGATTTCTTGACGATATGGTAGTGCTCTCATAGAAACGCCATTGCATAAAACTATTGGTATATTTTGTAAATTATGTTTTTTTTTAAATCCAAATATCTGTACTATAAATTGTTTATATGTAATAGTCTGAAATATTGTTATGTGTACAGTAAATAAAATGAAGGTATATAACTGCTAACTGTGGGTGGGCTATTTTTGATACAAAGAATTGTGTTAGAAGTATGACTATGGTATCTATATAAACTATATTATAAATATATAATTTATCTTCTGGCTGGATGGAAGCCATATGTTGAAGCTGAAAATTAAAAATCTGCCTTCTTCCTTATCTTTTAATATAAATATAGACTTCACTTTCTTTTATAACAAAATAACAACTGACTTAACAGATACGAAGTTAGAATTAATATCTCTAAAACAATGACTTCCTTAAACACTATGATATGAATCAATTTTACATTCTAGATAAATCATAAAAAGTGAATCTTGACTTTGGAAAATGAATATCAAATATAGTTGGAAAGAAAAATGTGTAAATTAAACATATAATTGCAGTAAATAAAGTTAGTTACAGTCAAGGTTTGACTGGCACATCAAAATTATGAACAAAAGTAGAATTTCCAGTACTGATTAAAGGAATTGTAAAAAGGTTTTCTAAACTTCTTTACAATCACTTTTAGTTTTGCTTTGAGTTGTGTCCGACATTTCTTTGTCACATGGATGTGAATGATCTGGTAAAGACAGCCTATTGTTTAAATCAGTATAGTTATAATGGACCTAACAGGTGTAAGTTATCTAAGAATATATCTACTGTTATCTATATAGTTTATAAAAGTGTAGAAAGTCAAAAATGAAATCAGATATTCTCCAGAGATTTTAAAATTTCTTAAATAGTATGAACTTGTACAGAAGGAGTATAAACCAAAGAATCAAACATATGTTATGAAAGTTTTAAAACATTTTGATGGAATGAAATATTCTGTAGAACTTTCATTTTTCGAGAAATTTCACTCTAGAAATTTCTTTGTATGTTGGGCTTTGAAAAAAAGCTGTATTTTTTCAAAACTTTAGCATCAAACAACATGAATATACAAAAAAACACTAACAATATGAAATGAAAATAATGGTGTGAAATTACATTGTAAAACCAACTATTTTCATTTGATTCCTGTATTTGACAATGTCCAGAGAGCTAGAACAGTACTTACTCACAAATAGAAATAATTGATATTTCATAAAAACACTTTAAAATACACATACATGTAATATAATATTTCACCAAAAACACATGATATTATATTGAATCAACATTTAAAACACACATTATACATGATACATAATTTGATAACACATATTAATATACACTATGATACACAATTATTTAACAAATATATGATAAATATTGTATTTTTGTATAATATAGAATTGCCGTATGGTTGGGAGAAAGTAGAAGATCCACATTTCGGTACTTATTATATCGAGTAAGTTTATTATCATCTTTTGTTTATGTAACTATCTAAATTGTCAAAGGATTTTATACACACATATAAGGTTGACTGATTTAGAACTTGCCATCTTTCATTTTTTGCCATAAGAAATTGACAAGGTTGTGGGTTGTTTATTTCTCTATTATGATGGGTTATGATTATGCTACATGACTTAATTTTTACCACAGGTTCAAGGGACTGGCATTGAAAAACAGTATTGTGGTTTTGATGGAACAATTTACTGATGCCCATTGTGCTTTTGGCTGTGCTTTTTAAAAACATATCCTCTGCTGTTAAAAAGTAAAAAGAGAAGACTTGCAATTGACTTAAAGTATTGCCTTTAGCTCAATCATAAGTAGAACAGTAGGGTGTAAAACTCCATATTTGATATTTTTCAGTCATGTGAATCGTAGAACTCAATATGAATATCCTGTGATAGATAGTAAACATAATGTAACCAGTCAAGAAAACTCAGGTAGGTAAATAACCCCTCCCCACTCCTCTCTTATTCGAGCTGCTTTGGCTCAGTCAAATAGATGCTTGCTGGCTAACTAGAAGGTCTTGGAGTAAATTTAGGCATAGGTCAAGAGAATACTTCACATTTTTTTTCATTTTTTAAACACAGTCTCTACATTTGATGCAATTGATCTAGTTGTTCAGATGAGACTCTGATCTGAGGCCCTGTGTGCTACAGCCTGTGCATGTGAAAAATCTCTTGATAGTTGGAAATCGATGTTTACTTATGATCCTATCACATTCTTGTAGTCAAGATTATCATGTATTGAATCGAGCTAAAATCTGTGAATGATTAAAATAAGCTTTGATTAATCAGCCTCATCAAACTGTTCTATATTAGTCATGTATTATTAGCATCATATACTAGAAATATTACAATCAACATATACATATATATAGCATCTATCAATTTATGTCTGCTAATATTTATGATTTATTTTGGTATAATTTAAGCTTAACAGATTCACAATGTCAAACTATTACTAATTTCATCTTAGACCTTGATTGCAACAGCCACTTATGTATCACAGAATGCAGCAATTTGATTGGATTGTATGTCAGCAAATACAGCCAATCAGAACATCAACAGAAAGACTGAACATTATGAGTTACTGTAGGGTGCTGTGAATGGCTGTTTTAGCTAGTGTACAATCCAATCAAATCACTGCATTTACAAACATCTGTGTTACAAGATTAATGACTATTGCAGCCAAGGTATAAGACAGAGTTTGTATAATTGTGAGATGAGATGAGATGCAAAGCTTCAGATCAGTTCTGATTTTTTGTTGTTGAAACAATTGCTGCAGCAACATTTAATGATAAAAATGACCAAATGATATATTTTAGGTGTTGAAGTCAATGGTAACAGTACTCTACCTCGCTCTACTAAAACAACAGACGGTACTAAACGTTCTGTTAGTGAATCAGATATGAACAACAGAATAAAAGAAGGTAGGTGTTAAGGTTCTTATTTTAGGCTATGTGTCTGTTTGTTCATAGATATTGTAAATTTGTATTTCAGAGAGTCATCATTTCATAGAACAACACCTTTTTATCCCAAATTTTAAGATCCATATACAAAAAAATTTACACCATAATGAAAAACTGATCTGTAAGACTACAAACATGTTTGGGGAGCTGCAATGGCTCAGTGAGTTAGACAATTGTTTGCTAATCTAAAGATCCAGGGTTCAGTCCCGACAAATAGGTTGAGATAATGCTTTTGGATTTTTAACTCAGTTTTCCTCAGTTCAGAAGGTCTGACAGAAAAAACATTAAGTTGTTCAGATGTAACAATATCCCTAGCCCTGTGTTCCAAACGAGTAAGCCAATGCTGCTGTCCTGACAAAATTTCTCTCATTGCACACTGCATCTGATTATTTTCCATGAGATGCTCTTAAAAGTAAAGAGACTATGTTAGCTGTATTTTGAGTTGTTGATGTGGAAATTGTGGTAAATTTGACATTTAATCTCAAGTTCTGTCTACCAAGCAGGTATTTCCTGTTACCATTCAAACTAGCAGATTTTACACCTGGTCTTACATCTTACTTCAGGTGTACTTGGTTTAATTTCTGTTTAGAATTACGGTGAAATGAGCCCTACAACTTATACAATTTATTGATTGCCTTGAACAAGTCACACTGATGTGTTTGTTGCTGCCATTCAAATCAGGGTTGTTTGATTCCTCTGCTAGGAACATGGGTTTGAATCCTGCAGAATTTTGATTGGTTTTGAAGTTGTTTGATTCATCTGCTAGAAACATTGGTTTTGAACCCTTCCTTGTCCTCAGACATGGTAGAATTTTGAATGACATTGATTGAAGCTGTTTGATTCATCTGCCAGGAACACCGGTTATGAATCATTTCTTGCTCTGAGACATGGCAAAATTTTGTTGTGTGTTGGTCATTCATCTTATATTTTGTGGTTTCAATTTTTGCCACCATGGAAGCAAGATGATTCTGGTGCTAAGATCAGTGCTAAATCAAGAGTTAAGCCCTAGTGTTTGGGCGATACAATAAATTATCTGATTATATTTCTAATTAAGAAAAGCCTACCACCTGTTTCTATACAATTCTTCTTTATCTCATTGTTTACATTCTACAGTCCAACTTTCCCATAAAAATAGATTGAAATGTAAAAACAATATTGTATTATGTTTCAATGTTAGATTATTATAGGTAATGTAATTAGAAAGCTTAAAATAGGATCATCTTTATCAGCCTGGTAGTTCGTGGTTTTAGACATATAAGATGGTACAAAAGCAGTTAGTGGAAGACCTAAAGACATTTTATCAAATTTGAGAGACTGATATCATTATTTATTCTTTTTTGAGACTACTTCTTATGATAAGATTATGAAGCATATAAAGATTCTATTGGCATAAACAGCTAACTAGGCTATAGGTTGATTTAAGAATTTACTGTTTCATCAAAATAAGCCGAACAAGCACCACATCAGAGGCAAGGAATATACATAAACCCAAGTGTTTATTTAACTTGCAGAAGATAACAGCATGGTGGCAGCATGTGAAATGAGAATGTCAGAGTACCCCCCTCTACCATCAATTGTTTATAGTGGTGTTTGAATTGCTGGGAATCTGGCTGCCATTCTGATACTATTTATAGTAACACTTGAATTTGACACAACAATGGCTAGCTGTATTGATCTTGTGAAGTCTATTTTAACACAGTCTGCCACTTTTTTTGATGGAAAAAATTCAGGTAGCAAACAAGTTATGAATTTAAATTAACGAATTGAGTATATGAAAATTCTTTTATAAATGAATTGAAAATTTTGTTGTTGAATATCAATGTCATTCAGTTGGCTTATTTCATCTTCAAGATATTTATCTTAGAAAATAGATGAAGATTTCACCACTTGTGCTAATAAATTACCTTGGATGAAATATTTTCTAATCTGACACTAGGGTATTCTTATCTTTAATCAGATTTTAATCAAAAATCTAGAATCAGTTGACTGACAAATTTATTATCAGTTGAGCAATATTAACAAGTTTGTGATGGATGTATTCACCACTTTCCATAGTCCAAACCCCTTACTGTTGTTGTCACCAAGTCAAGTTCCTTTGTCAGGTTCTATAGTTGTTTCTTAACATGACAACATTTGCTTGGTTATGTCAAGCAAATGGCAGCTGTGGGTTCAATTCTCAATCGGCATGTGATTGTCTGATGACCCTGATTAAGTAAAGCTGTAAATGGGTATGGATAATCCAGGTAAGATCAATGCCAAGACATTTGGCCACAGACAAGCTGGTAGAAAAGGTCCTTTACTGTGAACCTAAGTTGTTATCCTTGTAAAATTGGGTTTTTTCTTTCTCTCTTTCTTTAAAACACAGAATCCACTAGTTATTATGACTGTCAACTGGGTTTTACTTATCTGTCATCAAATGCAATTTGGATTTCAGAGGTATCTTTTTTTACTTTTAGATTTAGATTTGAGATAAATATTAGATTTGTCAGTTGTGTTAAGAAATTAATCTAAGTAAGAATAAATTTAGAATGACACTAGGAAAGTTTGAAGATTAGCTATGATTAGATTCTAGTTGATGATAATCCATACAAAATTATCTAAAATTGGAATTTTCCCAAATTATGTTGATTATTTCTCACATACTGCTGTTAAGTTTTGTTCTACCTGATAGACCCATGCTTCAGATTTTCAAACAAAGCCTAGTCTCAAATTTGTTGGTAAATATATAGGGTAGTCTCAATAGGTTGATCAAAAGAGCTCATTTCTTGCTGTCGATTTGTCTTTAAGACATCAGACCTTCAAAAGAAAATGTCTGTTAATTTAATACTAATCATTAGACTTTGAAATATGGACATTTTAGAAGTTATGACAAGAATATTCAACGGTAGCAAGGATTGACTAAAATCCCATTGACAAGCACTCATTTTGTGATAATATAATCTAAAACTGGTTCAGTTGCCAATACTGACTGACCTACAGCCATTAATATGTATTTAATCTTTAACCTTTTCATGGTTACTGTAGTGTATATGAGCTATATGGTCAGTAAGTAATATATCTAAGGTACTGGTTATTTTGACCACTGGTCAGTGTAGTTCTGTAAGTAATATATCTAAGGTACTGGTTATTTTGACCAGTGGTGATTAAAGATAGAGATTGTTTGACCAATATGTTCTACCTGATATATAAATAAATATATCTCTACACCTACCATGTTGATATATCTTGATAAAACACATGCTTGGGCTGTGGTCATTCCGCTTACAGATGTAATAAATCCTTAGAAATTAGTCTATTCTTTGATATGAATGAAAAAGGTATGCAACTGAGCAAGTCGATTCTGATATGAACCTAAAAGGGATCTTGATGTCTAATTCCTTGATATCCTTTATGTCATGCTAGCTGATGTAAATAATCACAAATTAGCTTGACAATTATGACATTGTGACTGAAAACTGAACATTGCATCTTTAATCGCATTTGATTTAATGTTTCTTAGCTCTAAGTGATACTGGTTCCTTACTTACTACACCATGCCATTGATCATAATCCAACACAAATCTCAATGTTAACTCAAAATGTTGTTTAACCCTAGTGTGTGAATAAAGTGTTATATACCCTGAAATTCAAATAATATAACATAACGCATAGGCTATGTGTTAACATTATATGATGTCATCTGGTAAGGGTAACCTTCACTGGTCTGACAAGGATCACATGGTGTGGTTAATATAGCAGCTGTTAAAAGGGTTAATCATACAACTTGTATGTTTGATGTAGGAGGCTATGCCTAGCTATAGTTAGTGTTTTCTGACAAGAATGAACAATTGTTCCCACTAAAACATAAAAAAGAACCTTGTGCCATCTACTTCAGATAAATCTCACTGTTTAGTCTGAAATTCAATATAAATAGCTAGATATCTTCAGATCTGTGTTTTCACTCATATATTTTCTTATCTTGAACAAAATTTACTGAGTTTAAGGACACACTGGGGAGAGCTCATATTACTGAAATATCATAACTAATGGTAAAACACTGTTTTCAAATAACCCAATTATATCACAGCTGATTCTAGTGTCAAACAACTTTTCTCAAATATTCACCAAATCTGTATTTCTCATTTCTGGTCATGTCAGACTTCTGAAGATTTTGTGTCTGTGATAATATAGTTTGTGAGAAACTCTATTTCTTAGTTGATATCCTGTATTAGTGCACGTAGGGTGGACGAAGTTTTATATTTCTTTAAAAGTGGTTTAATATTTCTAGGATTATTTTTTTGGATATATTTTTGTATGAAAAATTTGATGCTTTGTGATTATGGTGGGATTATTCTAACAGTGGTAATAATTAAGAAACGTGGTTTAGTTTATAAGTTTTTGTTGAAATTGAATTATACTCTGTTTCTTTCTTGTACAAAATAAGTTTGTAATTTTGGTAACAGCTATTGTTAGACATCTGTTTTGTTATTTGAGTAGATTAATTATGATATTTGTGTATGATTGTGTTTGGTCTGGCAAGATAGTTGATTACATCATGAAATATGACATACCTATTTGAATATCTAGGTTATATAATCTAGGTTATATGTCTTTGTTTCCAAAGGAGCCTACCAGTGTATTATAATGGAATATTTAGGCTGACGTGGGACAATCCAGTTTAATTCTTCTTGAAATAATAGTTTATGAATTGGTGATGATAATAAACATGGCCTAGTTGATATTCAATATGATAGAGAAATTAACAAAGAAAGTACTAGTTATTTTAAGGCTATTTAGGTTCTGTATTAAGTTTTTTTGGCATCAATATCTGTAAAGGGATATCCACTATTCTCACCTACTTATCATATTATTTCTGTTTGTGTTGACTGATATTTCTATCTTCTTTGCTATCTGTTTAGTTCTGAACATGTTGTGTTGTTGTTTTAGTTGTATAAAGTAAATTCATATAATATGATGAATAAATCAGAAGGTTTTCTTAATTTTTTCAAGAAATTAGGTGTGAGATGTTTTTAATGTTGATCTGAAGAAATGAGAAATTCAATGTGATTAAGAGTTGTAAAATGAATTTGATAGACTTTTGTATATGAAGTTCGAACATAGATAATATTTGGTTTACTTTGTTTTTCATGATTGTAATATTTATAAGTTGTACTGTAAAAGGATTGACTGTTAAGTACTTAGACATTCAAATTTTGATAACAGTTTAATGTTGTTTAGTAATATAATAAATGTATTCTGATCAACTATAAATTATGAAACAGCTCTAGTTAATTAATTCTGATTAATTCCAATCAAAAATATCAATTATTTTGATGATAGCTGCTGAAACACTTTCTGGTCCACTAAATAGAAGTAATCAGTTTGCCAATAAATTTTGTGTGAAATTGAAAAAAAAGTAAATTTAAAATCTCAATTTAATGTGGTGAATTTGAATGGTGTAGCAAGTAAAAAATCAATTCATCTCTGATCAATTGCTAAATTGATTAATATCAAAGTTGTCATTTTAAATTATATTCCTTTCATGAAGCCTGATTATCTGTTTTTATCCAATTTTTGTAATTTTCCATGGTTAATAAAGTTGTTTTATGAAGTACTGATGAGTAATGAGAGACCATGCTCAATTGATGATGACAGCAAAATGGTTTCAGGCTTGATTTATGATGAACATGTGATGAGCTGAAAACTATAACTGGTAGAAATATTGTGATTTTCAGTGAAGTGTTTTGGATAGTTTTGAAGTATTTTTTGTATACAATATATTAGGAAACAGGCTTATTGTAACCTATTTTTATCTCTCTCCTGGTTCTTAAGGGAGTTTTCTGGAGTTGTATGGACTAATTATAACCACTGAAAGAAATATAGTTTTCAAACAATTATTCAGTTTAAATTCAATGATGTAAATGCTTATAAAGTTTGGAATGACAAATAAAGAGAATATATTATGTGAAATGAATATTGAAATATTTGTATTATGAAACTGTGTTGATTGTTAATATAAAACTGTTAAAATGTCTGCCCCTATGAATATAATGGAATTATTTGGATATCGTGGTATCTATGAAAATGATATTCTTCAACTCTTACTCTCAGGTAAATATACTGCCAAGGATTTGAATATTTCTAAATTCTTTGTTTTTGAATGTTTTTGAAACTCTTCTTTGAAATTGGTGCAGAAGAGTTTAAAAGTTAAAAACTCCATTGTATTAGACTTTTAGTCAGATGTCAGTGGTTGGCTAAGGTTTTTGTGACATAGCAAAATTGCAAAGACTCTTAGATATTATTAGTAGCTGTTGTGATAATGACATCATAAAACAGTCATCTTACTGAAAATTGGAATGGTGCAAATTGATGCTATTAGTGTCTCAGATACATAAAAACTTAAGAAAACCTCGCTACTATCCCTTTAAATAGAAAATAAAAGTTAAACAAGTAACATTGAGAGATAAGCAAGTAACATTGAGAGATAAGCAAGTAACATTGAGAGATAAACAAGTAACATTGAGAGATAAACAAGTAACATTAAGAGTTGAGAGATAAACAGTAATAATGAAAGATAAACAAGTAACATTGAGAGTTGAGAGATAAACAGTAATAATGAAAGATAAACAAGTAACATTGAGAGTTGAGAGATAAACAGTAATAATGAAAGATAAACAAGTAACATTGAGAGTTGAGAGATAAACAGTAATAATGAAAGATAAACAAGTAACATTGAGAGTTGAGAGATAAACAGTAATAATGAAAGATAAACAAGTAACATTGAGAGTTGAGAGATAAACAGTAATAATGAAAGATAAACAAGTAACATTGAGAGATAAACAAGTAATAATAACATTGAGAGATAAATTTTAAGTAAGTTGAGATGAAAAGTAAGATATGTTTGTGTATTTTCATGTACTAGATTGTCACATGAGAACAACATCACATGATTTTAATTTTGAATTTTGAAATTCTGAAACTCAATACCGTGCTTTCAATTTTTATGACTTTCCTTTTTAAACTTTTTCCCAAGCTTAAAAACATATTTGAGAGTTTATGATGCAATGGTATTAGATTCTAATGAGACATCAGTTTGAAACAGGCTGGGGAGAGAAAATAAAAGTTTCTCGTCATTGGGTACAACTCTACAGGGTGTTGACAAACATTACTATATTACAGATGTTAACTAACACTAACTGAGATTTTTTAATCTTTCACAGATGATATTCATGATTTATTTTTCCACCTAGTTGGAAATCAAAATGTTTTAAAAGGATTGTAAAGGAGTTTTCTAAATTTTTTTATATGTATCGGGTACACTGATAGCTTAAATTTTCACCATTCCAATTTTCATTCTGACATAATGTGGTTCTTGCAATAAAAATGAATGGAATGAAAATTGGAATGTTACAAATTGATGCTATCATTGTCCCAGATACATAGAAAAGGTTTAGAAAACCTCTTTACAATCCTTTTAAGTCCTACAATTTCGGACATGAATTGGTTAGCATAACCTTATCAAACTCTTGAGCGATCTTGGACATTGTCCAATCCAAATGATAAGCGATGTTTTATTCATGTCAGTCCGTTTGACCTGTATCACTGACAGTAGGAAACCAACAGAAAAATTCAAAGTTATATTTTTGCCTCTTCATCCTGGACCTTCAGATTAGAAAGCAAACGTCTAATTCTCTAAGCCACCATGTCAACTTCAACTTGTCCTTTAACATTCAACTACCTCGGTATATATCCTTAAGTTACCTGACTAATTTTAATGGTGTTTGGTCATCTGATCTTCAAGTAAAACGAAAATTTATTGTTCAAAAACAGCATCATACATTACCGACAGCAGTTACAATTTTACCACAGCAAAATATTTCCTATAACCATATTGTAAAATTCTTTTTTTTTCTAATTGTATACGTTCATTCTATGTATTTATGTATCTAGCTATAAGTTAATTATTTTGGTTATCTATTTCAGGTTTGGAAGGCAGGAGACCTCACTTTACCAAAAATCCCAATGAATTAAAGGGAGAATTACTGCAGGCATCATTGGTCAAGAGTTTTCGAGGTTTTGGGTTTACTATTATTGGTGCTGATAGAGAAGATGAAGAATTCTTACAGATTAAAAATATTGTGCCTAATGGTCCGGCATATCTTGATGGTAAACTCAAAACAGGTATGTCTACTGTTTAATATACAGTGTACCTGTATTCGGTGAATTCTGACGTCTTGGTATTAGGACAATCTTAGGACAAGGCTTATTTGGTTTCCTTTGTCGAAGGCTTTGATTTGATGTATTTAATGGCACACAACCCAATCAAAATAGCTGCATTTATAAACTTGTGTGATATGAGAAAAGTGCCTTGTGAAGTCCAGGTATTAGATAGGCTTTGTAATCTTGAAGATGGACTTGTCTGTTATATTTATAATATATATGTATAACAATTACCAAATTGATCTCTAATAATTTTTATGATGTAATAAAATTTGAGAAATTGATTTACATCAACTTGAAGAGCCTAAAAAAACATAATAATGTTAAACAATAAAATAAACAGTTAACCTATCACTAGCTGTCAGTAAACTATATTGGTACCAGTTATTTTTACTCTGAATTACCTGATAAATCATTCTATGCCTGTTTTTCTATTGTTATCAGTTCAGAAATAGAACTAGCGTCATGGATGCTTTGTTTCAATTGTTTAAACAAAATATCATGTAGAGACAATAGAATATTAAACTGCTATTTTACATCTAAATTAGTTAATGTCTACATTCATTTCTGGAACAGGTTTCAATTTTTGTTATGAAACAGAATTGATATTGGACTATTCTTATGGTCAAAATGCTATCTGAAATAGACAATTTTCAAGGCACCTTATATCCATATTATATTTACTTTCTTGAAAGATATTTAATATTTATTGCACTTAAATTCTTTTGTGGTCTGAATCCAGATGCATTTGCATAAAAGTTTTTTCCATGTTGAAATATGGAATTGTTTCCATCTTAATCTTAAGTTTTCATGATCCAATGAAAATCGATGTTAAGATGCTTCTTATTTGTGATATTTGATTTTTCTGTGGTCTTAGTCTTAATAATAAGAAACTTGTTAAACTCAGAAGCAATGTTATCTCCCTTTACTTAGATCTTCTCAGAATAAAAAATCAGGTGTCAATTTTTGCCTGTGATTTATTTTACCTATAGAATTAATCTATAACATCCTGTTGAATATCGGATATAAAAATATAGTGTAATTAGATTAATTAAAGATAATTAACATCACCTGTATTTTATACTTGTTTTTAACCTAACCATGTCATATTTGTGGTACAAATATAGATTATAAAGCACCAGTATATATATTGTTTACTATTAGTTTACTTCTGATAAAATATAATAAGTGTAAGGCAAATGATAATATCAACTTTCTTTTTTTAAGATAATTTTTATAGAACACCAAATTTAACACCAAGCCTGAAATAAAGAGTAAAAGCAAAAAGTAAAATGTAGTATAAATTTGATTTAAACTTAATATACCATGATTAAGCACCGCCTTCTTTTTTCAAGAATGAAGAGATTAATATCATGTTTTCTACTTGATTAAGGTACTCTGAAAAACATGTTTCTAGCTCCATGCATATATATACATTTGATACATAAATGTATGTATACTATTGTAGACGTACATTCTGTGTACTCAACTCAAAATTCTTAGAAATTGTACAATACTCAAGTCTTTTGTGGATATATAGATTTCCTCTTGTTGTGAAGCTTGCATGTCTTGATGTTATTGTCTGAATAAGGATTATCCAGCACAAGTAAAGATATTTGTTGATAATTTTATTTTTTGAAAATATTTTCAGACAACTAAACAAAGTTTAAAATATTTGATTGTTTTGTTTCAGGTGATGTTTTGGTGTATATCAACAAGACATGTGTCCTCGGTTATACACATCAGAACGTTGTCAGTGTGTTTCAATCAATACCACCAGGAGAGACAGTTGTCCTAGATGTTTGTCGTGGTTATGCACTGCCGTCAAATTTAGACGATCCCAACACGCAGATAGTGACAACCGTGGCAGTGTCTGGACCTAATTCAGGACAACAACCACCTGCATACGGATTTAATGGACTAGATGCTTTAAATACATCACAACGAAGTTTAAAATCTTTACCTGATTTAGCCAAATCCCACAATGCCAATAATGCAGATTCAAGTTTCTCCCAGAATAGTTTACAAGGGGAGTTAACTGATGAACCTCCCGATTTAATCATGTCTAAAGCAGAAATGTTGGTTGTGGATATTGTGCGTGGAAAAAGTGGATTTGGATTTACAATAGCCGATTCTCCTTTCGGACAGCGTGTGAAACAAATCATTGATGAACCTCGATGTAAAAATCTTCAAGAAGGTGATATCTTACATCAAATTAATGATATTAATGTCCGTGATATGACTCATTCTCAAATTGTGGCTGTTTTAAAGGAATGTCCAATGGGAGATGTGACAGTTATTACTGTACAAAGGGGAGGTAAGTCATGTTTGTTTTTAGTAATTTTTGCTGTTAAAGATAAATTAGGATTGGCAGGAGCTTCATTTTAAACTCTGTGAAGGTCAGTTATTGCTAACAAATTGAACTTAGTATTTGCTGATGTTGAAAGTATGTTTTATTTTCAAAACAAATAATCTGGATAATAGAGACTTTGTTGAATTTTGTTTGACACTTCTGTCTTGTTGATTGAGTCTATGAAATTCTGCACCAACCTCAACTATAGTTTTACTGATCGCTAATCCAAACAATAAAAAATGAAACAATTCACATTCAAACGATCAAATAAACATCAAAATTTGTTTTTAGTCTGGAAACATGCCAAATTATTCCAAAACTTTGGTGTTGTATCACATTAGAAATATTTCATTGTTGGACAGATCTGCCATTGAAATAATCTTCTAATTTGTAATTCCTGCTAACAAATGAAATACTTGCTTTGGTTCAACTGTATTGCATTTAGATGCTCTCACACCATAGTAATTACTAGTTGCGAATGGTTGTGAATAATGAAAGTGGTCATGAGTTCTGAACACAACTCACTGAATCAGTTTCATGAGAGATGCCTTCGTAACTTATGACCGCTATTTTTATTTGCAAGCATAGGCAACTGATAATCACTATTATGTGGGGGCCCCTGTTAAAGATTTAAAATGTGATCAAATGATTAATGTATATCTTCTGAACGTAACATAGAAATTTCAGATAAAAATGTATAAATCAATACTTGTTACGTGAATGTGTGAGTTAACCCAGGGTGATAAGTGAAAACATAAAACATTCACATTCAGGCAAGAAGACGTATCACACCAGGATATTTGTAAAATGCCTTTGTTGATGTTAGTGTAACTTTGATTTGAGATTTGTTTTCCTCTGTTTTTAATTCAGTTTAAATAGTGACTGTGAACATTGTAAACTAGTACAAGATTGAAACAAGCCTCACATTTTATGAGAAATAATTCAGATCAACTATCATACTAGATTAACTTTTTTATTTCGCTACAGTGAATGTCAGAGACAGCTTTAAAGAAGTTATGTTTAAATGTGCTTCAGTTTTCCAGTCAATATTTGCTTTTTGAGTCTTTTTCGTCATTTTATTGATCATGAATCACAAATAGATTGTAGTTTTAAATTCAATGTATCAATGTATGAGATCTGTCTTTAAGATATTCAGAGGAGACGGATGTGTTGATAGGCATCAAATCTACTTGCTTACATGATTATTTCAAAGTTTCTGTGATAATTCATTTTATTTTTTAATTTCAGGGATTCCCTTTCCAATGAAAGGAAGAAGACCAGTCAAACCGGTAAGTAGGTTCCTATCTATCTTCTTAAATGTGCAACTTTCTTCTAAAAGATGGGTTTCCTTATTTTTTAGTGTTAAATTAAGCAAACTATTTAATTAATTGGTGTTTCTAATAAATTATCATATATCATTATCTTCTTATTGCATATAATTAATTGTATATATGTACACTCTGGATAAACCAAAAAAGACTTTTTAACCTTTCTTGATCGGCCCCTCATTGGAATTCTGCTGGTAATTCTCTTCTAAATTAGCTAATTATGAATTAAATTTGAACATGTGAGAAAAACTGGTATTTTTCCAAGTCATTAGAACACCTCTACTTTCTATTCATATAAGTATTAGCATTTTCATTTTTATAAATGAAAATAAGGAACCCATCAAGGAGTTGTAAAGAGGTAATGTCTAGTTTTTTTTTATGTATATCAGGTCCATTTATGATTTCTATTTGCATCATCCTTTTTTCTGTCAGTTTTCTGTTGGTCCTGATATTATAGAAATTTCTAACTGTATAATAATGGAAAATGGTGCAAAGCAATGGTGCAAATCGATTATCAATGTTCTTGATATATATAAATATGTATGGCAAATTGTTTAAGATGGGAAGATTTAATCAATTGATGAATGGGTTGTAGACTTGGGAAAGGGGAGAATCAGATCCAAACAATGATGAACAAAAGAAAGAAATTTTTACTATAGTGCTCAACTAATTGGAAAAAATTGAATTGATATGACATTTTAGAAGCAGAAAGAATTGTATTTTCTATGTATGAGTATAAACTGAGGATGTGAATTGACACAGTGAGTCATGTATTCTGTGACACACCAAGATTAGGTAACATGTCATGGTGACACCTGGTGTTTGTTTACTCTCATTAATTTACACTAATAACGAAGTTTCACTTGGTAAAATATATGCCTCAACTGACGTCATTCTGGACTGGATCAAATTTACATCATTTGATTAGGATTTACAAATCCCTGTGAATTTGAATTTTATTCAGAAAAATATTGTGTGTGTTCTTGTAAAGTGTTTAGTAAGGTATAGTAGTCAATTGTTAATGTCAGTGATCTAAAGCTGTATGGTGCTTGGATGTTATTCAATGTAGTGGATGTCACCCAGCCATGCTTTCCTAACTTTGTCATTAGTACAAAGTTACAACCTTGACTCCCAAACCATGTCAGGTTTATCAATATTTTTAAGTTGTAATTATTAATGATTTATATTTCAGTCAAGAAGTTTTGATGAAAAACCACGAGGAGAAGGGGGCATAATTCAACCTGGTGCTTATTTTTTTAACGAACACGCCAACCAAAATAGTCACGGTAAGCTTTTGATTTTCAAAATTTTTATGAAATATTAGTTTAATTATTATTTTTACCATAGATTTGAATATTAAACAATCTTTGAAAATGTGAAAACGTAATTTTGGAGCTTGCTGAAATTGACATTGCCTGCCATTTTCAAAAGTAAGTAAATAGATTCACAAGCCCTACAGAAATGTTATTTTATTTCTATGTAATAAGGATATGTATTAATCCCACTGTTTAATCTCCAGATTTTACTTTTTATTAATACAATAAGATAATACACAAACTAGAATTAGTTTAGACTTGTTTCATCTCAAGGGGATTTTAATGAGGTTTTCTACATTGATTTCGATTGATCCATTGTTGTTTTCAGTCAGACTTCTGTTGGTCTTGAAAGTCCATTCAACTAAATGCTTTAAGATGCAGCTATCTCAGAGGCTCTTAAATATTGTTACCAGCCTCTGTGATAATGGTGTCGTGTACATTGGAGCATTTCTATAATTTCAGAAAGCCAAAGATCTTTCGAAATTGGAATTATACTAAAAGAAGTTATCAATTGCCCCTATATTTCCCCAAATAGTTACCCTGGCCAATTCTTTTTGGATCGAAAAACAATAAAACAAATTTATTTTTTAAATTGTCCAAACAGGTATTGTAACTTTAATAAATAACAGTATAAAGGAGGACTCTGAGTTCGGTAAGAAATGTGATATTTCTGTAACATATATATATATATATATATATATATGGTTGGAATCGTACTGTTATAAAGTATCTGTTCCAGACATCTTTCATATCTACTGTTATATATAGTATCATGATTCCATAAATAAATATATTAACAAATTATCTTATACTTGCTGACAATGTCGCAGTCAACAAATTAAGACATAATACAGAATAGTTCACTAATCATTAAGGAGATCTTTTCATCTAGAAAAATATGAAATGATTTTAATTATTAATCTTAAATAAATATCAAGGGTTTAGGAATGTTCGATTTTCAATATTTACTTCTGTATATGAGGGATTAGTAATTGATCTGTTTTATCAAGGAATATTGTTAGGATCAGTTGATTGGCTATTGACATTCTAGTTATCCAATCATTATCTAGAGTTTATCAACTAACTCATTATTCAATAACAATTCTTCATTAGGAAATGTAATAACACATAAGTTTAAATGAAAACTTTGGATTGAGAATAAAAAATATACAGAATTACAATATAGTAATTTGATTGGATAAGAATATTTGATTAACCAATGATTGATGAGGGATTATATTCTGGTGCTACTTTAAATATGAAATATAATAGGCCTACCTGAATTATTGGATTGTATTTGTTTATTTTTCAACATGAAGTAGTTAATATATATGTATATAAGATATAAAACATGTTAAATAGTCAGTGGAAATAATTCACCATGCTTAAATGGAAAAGTATTTAACTTTGTATTGTAATGTGCTACCTTGGATTCATTTGTGCATTAAAGGGGTTGTAAAGAGGTTTTATAGCTTTTTTTAATGTGTGAGGTCATTTCTGACTTCTAATTTCATCATTTCAATTTTCTGTTACTATCAAAAATGATGCTAATAATATCTAAGCGGCTTTGCAATGCCTACATCATAAAATTGTGAAACAGAATGTTGCAAAACCGATGCTATCAGTTTCTCTGATAGTTAAGAAAATCTCTTTGTAATCCCTTTAAAACCTAGGGTTTTTTTTATGGGTTCTGTAATGGTTCTGTCATTCAAAAGTGTTTAAAGATAGTAGTGAAACAGTGAACAGCTCTGGTAAAGATTCTTGGAGGCATTTGTCTATGAAAGTATTAGTGCTATCATATTGTATAGTCTTGATTAAACACTGCTCAATATTGAAAATGACATTGAATTTTTTTTGCAGAAAAATCTGATGAAAGTTTTGCAAGCAGCAACCCACCATTATCAGTAGGTGAAAGAGAGGCTGATAGATTGAATGAATTGTCAACTTTACAAGGTAGATAGAGTTACTTCCCTTGACTCATATTAACCAGTCATACAAGTTTAAAGAGCTACTTCCAATATGATGTTATTATAATGAGACTTAAAAAGAATTTGTAATCACCATAAGCTTACTTCAAACTAGAAATATTTCACTTTCATTTTATATATATATATATATATCTTTCAATATTTGATGCTGTTCTATATAGGCTATATGTCTTTTCTATATTTGACACTGCATCAAGAAAAGACGAATCGTCATTTTAATTTTTAAATGCTCAATTTATTCATAGCTATCCTTTTTGTTGAACAATTTGTTCACTTGCAATGGTAACTGATTGAATATTATGACCTCAATTAACAGTGTTTCATCATCAAATTTCTGAAAAATCTGTTAAATCTGCAAGTGTAAATAATGATGGAACAATTATCCAGTAAAGACACTGAAAGT